ACCGCCTCTTGCTCTTGCCCTCTAACACTGCTAGGCACGTCTTTTGATCTGTCCTGAGAACACAGAGCACCAGTAGGATGGCTCTGGAGAGCTGAGCTGGAAGATTTCTTCTGCTTTGTTCAATACTTTACTAACTGCAACGGGACAGTTCCTCACGTTCTCCACTTCAATGTCTCTGGTGAAAATTCCTGCCAACTCACTCTGAGCACCCCTCCTTCCCCACGTCTAAGGCAGCGGCTTCACAGTCAGGTCAGAACTGCTGCAGAGAAACCCCATTTTAATGGCCACACCAATCTGAGCTAATTTTGAACCATTCCTTGTACTGACAGACTTGCTGCGAATGAGGCCCTGCTTGGGCGGGGCAGCCTGGCTCTGCCCTGGAGCCCCTGGGAGCACAGGTACCTGCAGGAGGATGCGGCCGATGCCACTCAGCAGCTGTGGCTCCTGCTCTGGGTAATACTTGATGACCATGCGGTATGCATCCACAGCCAGCACGTAGTCCTGTGGACAGACCCGAAAGCTCCGTGTGAGCTACAGACACCACTCTCAGTCTGCACATCAGGAAGAGCACAACTACCCATTAACACACATGTGGAGTGAGGACACTCGCGTGCAGCTTTGGAGCGGGGCTCTGAGCTGAGTCAGTTGCATGTTCTTCTGTCACTCAGGGGCACAGGGTCAGCGTCCCTCTCCTGCCTTCCAGGGAACAGCTCATCTCTGACTTTCTCTCCCACAGACTACAGAGTGGACCAGCAATGCCATTCCCCAAACACAATCCATATTTCCCATGCTAGAAATTGAGGCAAACATCAGTGTTTATAGCAGCTCAATTCACAATAGCTAGACTATGGAACCAACCTAGGTGTCCTTCAATAGATGAATGGAAAAAGAAAATATGGTATCTATACTCAATGGAATATTACTCAGCTTTAAAGAAGAATGAAATTAAGGCATTTGCTGGTAAATGGGTGGAGTTGGAGAATATCATGCTAAGAGAAATAAGTCAATCCCCCAAAACCAAAGGCCAAATGTGTTAGCTCTAATATGTGATGCTAATTCACAATAAGGCGGGAGCAGTAGAGAATAGCGTTACCATAGATTAGGTAGAGGGGAGTGATGGGAGGGCACGGGAGCGAATGTGGGACAGGAAGGGTGGAAGAATGAAACAGACATGTGCTTTATGTATCCACATGACTGCATAACTAATGTGACTCTACGGCATGTACACTCAGAAACATGGGAAATTAAATCCCATTTATGTAGGACACATGAAAGTGCATAAATGCATTCTACTATTATGTATAACTAATTAAAATAACGAATAAAAATGTTTTTAAAAAAGAAATTGAGGCAAAATCCCTACAGTCAAATAAACAACCCACCAGTCAACTTTGCAGGGAGAGCAAGCCTGACATTCCACGTCGTTTTTCCACAGCAGGACACCTGAGTGCCACCTGCTCCCCGCAGCACCCAGGAAGCTCCTGCTGTTGCAGACACTGCACAGGGGCCCTGAGAGAGGCCTTGCGGCCACCATGTTTGGCATCTACACTCTGCACAGGACCTCAGCCTTCGTGCCTCTTGAGTCTGTGCGTCTTGAGAAACAGGCACCCTGCCCCTATTGCGGTCCCTCCTCCAGGCAGGGCCTGTCTGCCATTGACCTGTGAGAGTGGCCGGAGTGCGCCTCCAGGTGTTAGCTGGTCTTGGGCGGGGCTGTCAGTCACAGGGGACACAGGGGCCTGCCCCCCCCCTCCCGGGGCCTGCAGTAGGAGCCCGAGTGGCAGCCTGTGCTGAACTCCCTCCTGTGGGCAGCAGGGTGGCCACCCACAGACTCGTCTCCTGGCTGACTCACTGTAAGCCCCAGAAGGTACTTTTATTTTATATTCTTCTACATTTTCCATTCCCTCAAACTAGGACTGGAGTCGCTAGTTTGCTAATTGGGATGTTATAAAGAAAGACAGACGACAAATCAAGTTCCAGTTTGGCAGGAAGAAAACGGAGCCTCTCCAGCCTGGTACCTTCCCGGCAGCTCATTAAAACTAATTTTACTCCAGGCCAGATGCTCGCAAGGAGCCAGACAGCACATGCCTCCCTCTCCGCTCCCACGGCACTTGCTATTTTGATAGAGACAGGGTCTCACTAGGTTGTCCAGGCTGGCCTTCAACTTGCCATCCTCCTGCTTCAGCCTCTCGAGTTGCTGGGGCTACAGGCCTATGCCCCGGGCTTGCTCAGCAGGACATCTCCCTGCCTGCTGCTGCCTATGGCTGGACTGACCCGCTTCTAAGTGGGAGTGAGAGGGTGAGACCCCACAGAGGTGGATCTGTGAGCAGCTCCTCGGGCCTAGGGAGGGCTGAGGCCAAGGCTGAGGAGGGACACACCATCCTGGGGCTGGTAAAGTCCAGGTGGCAGACAGGGAGGCTCCAGAAGCCTGTCTCTGCCGCTCCTGGGAGGGCTGTGGCCTGGGGCTGGTAAAGTCCAGGTGGCAGACAGGGAGGCTGCAGAAGCCTGTCTCTGCCGCTCCTGGGAGGGCTGTGGCCTGGGGCCTCTGTGCTGCTGGGAGGTGTCCACTCTGATCTGACGTCCCTTACCTTAGGTTTCCGTGAATAAGAGGCACACTCAGGTCATTATGGCCTCCGAGTGTCCCTGGGCTGTGCCGTGCTTCACCTGTGTTCTGCCAAGACGGCCACTGTGAGAGCGCCAGCACCCCAGCATGGAGGGCCGGCAGTGAGCTCCGCCAGGATGACTTCTCGCCAGTCAGTGTGGCTAAACGGGGCGTGGAGCTGTGCTGGAGAGCTGCCCTGAGCCACTGTTCTCAGTCAAACCACTCATTCCCCAGGTGGGCGAACAGAGCCCCCTGAGGGGCCCGGCTGACGGGAGCTCCTCAGAGAGCCCACTCAGCCCTGCTGGCACACGGAGAGGAACACGGACACTCATCCAGGGACAAACGGACTCTGCACAGTTTCCACAGTGACTCTGGCTGCAAAACCAGCCTTTTGGCCACTCCGGACCAGGGATACTTTGTGTCATGGCTGAGTGTGGGCAAGGCAGTGCATTCATGTTCTTTCCACAGGTGAGAAGCCAGGACAGGGGGAGTGGGGGCACCTGGAGGGATGTAGACTTGGGAGGCACAGAGAGTCTGGGCAGTGAGCTGGTGCCCCTGTGTGGCCTCAAGGCGACCAAGAAGAACAGCAGGCCCCAGGCCAGCCTGGGAAACTTAGCAAGACCTTATCTCAAAGTAAAATAAAAAGGACGGGGAGGTAGGTTGGTGGGAAAGTGCATGCCACCTGTTCAAGGCCCTGATTCCATCCCAGCACCACAAACAGGCTTAAGGAGAAGAAGTGACATTTACGAACTGAGTACTGTGGGGTTTCCCTGGCTTGGTTATATGGGCATGATATATGTGCCCTTACAGCGCAGTATGCAGATATCTGGGGTTGGAACATACAGATAGGTTTCTCATCATTAAGAAGTTAAATTGATATTTACTTCACCATAACAGAAATGCTATTTGAAATAATTAAATGGCTGATTAAATAACTCATTGTTAGCCCATGCACGGAATTTAATGACACCAGACCCCCACTGCTGCAATACCGAGCATGCTCACTAGATGGCAACAGACTGTGCATGCTGGATGGGCCTTAATTGTAACATTTTTCACTCCTTTTTAAAATTCATGAAAATAAAAAAGATTCAGCTAAACTTTCAAATTAAATTATGTCGTTTAAAAAAAATTCTTGAAAAGCCATGGTATGTTCTGTACTGAGTCCCAACAACATAGGTAGAGGCCTTACGTTGGTGTGTGGTGTTGCGACTTCACCACAACAAAGAAAAGCACTTTTTATTCTACAATCTTCTATGAATGCACCTTAAAAAGTGCAAGTCCAAGCCCAGCAGTGGAACAGGTGGCTTCCTTCCCCTGGAGTTCTAGCCCACGAGGGACTTAGAGGGACTCTGGTGCTGCGAACTTGTGATTGCACAAGCTGTTCTGGCAACCAGAATTGAGAGGCCTTCGGGGGAAGCCTGCGAGGGCGTGGAGAGGCGGGCGGGCTCGCTGTGGTTGCTCAGACTGCCAAGTGGAGGGCAGAGAGGACAGGAGCCAGGTGCTGGGCGCCTAGTTACCCCCAAGGCCCCGCTCTGGCCCACAGGTGGCTCCCGGGAGGTGTGAAGCCAGCTCAGAGGGGGCAGGCCCTGCTGACAGGGTTAGAGGGGAGGACGAGAAGGAAGGCAATGGAAAGAGGGGGGAGAACAAGGAACAAAGTGGCCCTATAGCTACCATCTTTTCAGAAATATCTTAGAGAAGAAAACACCCATTCTTAGAAAAAAACCATAGAACTCCCTAAAAAACACGCTTTCCTTTGTGTGGAAAGGGGAGAGAGAGCTGTGTGACGTCAGAGCTGGGAGGGAACCAGAGGCAGCCATCCCTTGCTGTGTTGTGAGGAAGCCGAGGCTGGTGGACAGAGGAGGTGTCCAGGTCACTGCACAGAGGGCAGGCTGATGTTCTGCCCCTTCTGCACCAGCAGAAGGTAGGGACCAGAGGTAGGGACCCTGAGTGGGTGCTGGGGCTGCACACCTTCCTACCTGGACAGGTGAGCTATTTGTGGACGCAGCACTCTCCAGGGCTGCCGAGGCCTCTGTTTGTAATGTGGGGCTGCCACACCAGGGCTAAAGAGGGGCGGGAGTGCAGAGCCCGTCCAGGAGCGACCGTGGGTAGCCTGGGAGCCGTGAGTGTGGCAGGAGCGCTGCCCATCTCAGAACAGCCCAGAAGACGCTCATGGTGCTGCTCTGGAGTGGCTGCCGCTCCAAGGCTGGGCTCCGGGACTGCTGGGCAGCTTCAGAGCTCAGTGGAGGACAGCTGTGGCCAGGGTGGAGGCAAGCAGTCGTGGGCTGCATTTGAAACACAGAAACTGAAGAGCACTACTGCCTAGGCTGAGGGCCGTGTGCAGCAGAACAGGCTGGGAGAAAGGAATGACTGGCAGGCCCCACGCATTCCTCGATTGTCACACAGGTTCTCGGGTGGAAAGCTTTGGGGTGCGTGGGGTTGGTGGGGTTTCTTGACCTCAGAAGTCATAAGCATCAATCAACACTGAGTGGGGATGGAAGGAACCCACCAAAGCCGGGAACAAAAGAACCTGCCTGAGTGGAATTCAGAGGAAGATAAGGGGGATGACCCATGTTTGTATGATTAAGATTGACCACATCAATCCTGCCTTCTAGAAATAACACAGATTCAGCCCTAGGGTGTCACTGAACTCCACTGAACTGCCCGGGGCTCGGCTGGTCTCTGCTCAGGAACATCACCTGCTCTCGCCCAGTGCACCAGCCCCTCTCCGGCCCTCCTCTGGACACAGTGCTCCGCAGCTGGCTGGCCACGTACCTTCATCAGGAGCAGGCAGTTTGCCATGGAGTACAGCACCCGGCCCAGACGTGACCTCCACAGCTGAACGGAGGCTGCAAAAGAAGAGCAGCTGGTCAGAGTGTAGCTACATCAAAGGTCGGGCCTGTGGTGGCTGGGCTATGTGGCCAGGCTTTCCGAAGTCTGATTTACAAGCCTCTCTTGCTAACACCACGGACTCCAGCCAGAATGTTCATCCTGCTGAGGGTTACACTCGAGGCAAGATGCACAGCAGGCACATCCAGAGGGCCTCAGTGGCTCCAGGAAGATGCACGCTGCAGAAAGGCTGTAGCTTAGCCTCAGCTCAGGCAAAGGGCCTGGAAATCCAACAGGAGCACCAGGTTAGAACTCCCAGAAAGGCACCAACCTTCCTGTGGCTGCGCCCTGGTGGGAAGGGCCTCAAGGAGCTAGCCACGAGAGGCCACGAGGCTCCTGCACCCCCCAGGCAGGGGTGGCAGGGAAGCAGGTTCTCCCCAGGCTCTGCACCGGCTGGCTCTGCTTTAGTTCCTAGGACAACTTCCCAGGCCTTGGCTCCTTCATCTTTTAAAGGGAAACAACAATCCCTGGCCTCTTTTCTTCCCAGGGCTCTGTGAGGGAGAACCAGCAAATGAGTACCAACGTCCACCTGGACAGGGGAAAGCAGCACAAGGCCAGCTCCCACGACGGCCGCGCAGCAGCTCTGGGGCACCGGCTCCTGGAGGGGCAGTGCCCGCTCTCTCCTGCTGTACCCACTGCTCATCTGCCATCCTTCCACTGAGTCCAAACCTCCAGGGCCTGTCCTTCTATGGTTCTCATGGGCTCCATGGCTCCACGGCCTCCGGGGTCTAGAGAGGCCCCATAGCGGCTTCTGGCACGAGGGAGGGCTGGCCTGTGGCTCTGTTTACACACTGAGGTCACCGGGAGTGAGTTCTGTGCTGGGGACTCAGCTGACTTCAAAGTTTGTATTTCACTGATAATTAGGTTGAGGCCCAGAGAGGCAGGGGTATGTCATCTGAACCCCTGGTCAGTGAGCCTTGCCCTGGGCTCAGTCCACTCCTCCAGAGGAACCCACGCTGCTGGAAGGCAGGAAGGGCTTGCTGCGGGACGGCGCGGGGGATGGGGTAGTGGTGGTGGTGGGGGACACAGGCCCAGGCACACCTCCGGGCAGGCCCAGGGGCTTCCCCTACCAGCCAGCACCGCTGCCCTCTGAGATCATGGCTCCCTGGAACCAGGCTTGCCCCAGCTCCCAGAGACATGCGTACTGCCCCAGCAGGCCACGCCCCGTCCTCCAGCACTCACACACCTGCAGCTCCTGTCTTCTCACCGCCTCCTTCTCAAGGAGCCTCGGTGCGGCTGGGCGCCGTGAGCGGCCCTCTGCCGCCCTCTGCAGGCCTCGCCAGCTCGGTTGTGCCTGTGAGAGCCCCAGGAGTGGGACCACACACCTGGCCTTGATGTGCTCGTTCCTCTAAAGGCCCAGGGACATCAAATGCAGGGGCGGGGTGTCAGGGTGATGCCTTCCCCAGCCGGCCTCGCAGGCACACACACACCAGACAGACAACACACCCACACTCACTGGAAACACAGACACAACCACACACACAAACCACACCCACACCTCACACCATGCACATACCTACCCACCCACACATCCCACACATGTGATTTCTCCAGGAAATCACATGCAGTTTCTCAAGGATGGAGGGCACAATGGGGACCCAGGGTGACGCCCCTTCCCCACACGTCCCTCTTGCCTCCGGTCTCACTGACCTAGCTCAGTGCCCTGGGCCCAACGGGGGTCCCCCCAGCTCTCTTCTCTTCCCACATGTGAACACCTAATGGCAGTTCCGGAGAGCCCAGGTGTATCAGGCCTGAGCCAGCAGTGATGTGGATCTGGGCGTTTACTGAGCAGGTGGCCGCGGGGAGGAGGCAGGGGTAGGGATGAGGGAAGGAGGGCCTTGCTGGGAGTTCGCGTGGAGCTGGGGTTGCAGCACCTTGGAAGCTCACCCCCACAAATCAACTCAGCGTGCTGCAGCCAGGACACCTGCTGTGGGGTGAACCTGTCCCCACTTCACAGGGCAAATACCAGCCCCAAAGTCCTGCTCGTGGTTTCGAGGAAGGGGCCTTGCAGGTCACTGGGGGCCTCTGAAGGCTTTAGTGGCTTTATAAGAAGGGCTAGTAGCATGCTTGCTTGGCCTCTCCATGTGATGATGCCCTCTGCCACGTTATGACGCAGCGAGAAGGCCTGACCAGATGCCAGTGGGAGCTGTTGCATTTCCACCCCAGAACTGGAAGCCAAATAAACAGACCGAGGCAGTGACCTTCTCAAAATATAGATCTGCACCCACAGCGACCCCGAGCCCTGGGGTGTCACCCTGTTTCCTGCAGAGCAACATGCGTGGCCTCAGAGGCTGCACCCTGGACCACCTCCCCAGCCACTCTTCCTGCAGCACTGGCTCATGTCTGGTCCCACCCTGCTCCCTCCTGCCATGGGGGCAGACCCAGGTGGGTGAGGTGCCCTTCCTGCATGGGAGGCCTCCTGAGCCACAGGCTGGGCTAGGCCCTCTGTCAAGGCTCTCTCAGAACCGCCACCTGGGGGAGGAAGGTCACCTGCGTGGGTGACAGGTGGGTTAAGGTGCATCTTCTTCCCTGCAGATAGGCGCAGGTCTAAATCTGCACACAGGTCTGCAGCACAGCCACAGGGCTCAGCTTGCCAAGAGGAAGGAGTGAGTGACTGCGTGACTGTCACAGAGGGAGAGAGGAGGAGTCCCAGGGCCTGTGCGGCTCTGCTGAGAGGAGATGCTCACCTTGCCGGCTCTCTGGTGTGACGCTGCTCATGCCCCCGTCTTCAGCTAGACCTTGCTCCAGGTTGGCTAAGATCTGCAGTCATTTCAAACAGGAAAACAAAACCATAAAATTGAGTTTGCGTCTAGACTTGTCACAATATATTCCAGGTAGAGCAAATTTCTCTGGATGAAAACCAATCTGTCAAGGAATGTTCACACGGATACATCTCAAAGGCCATGATGACTATCACTCAGAGGTGACAGCAAAGAGAAGGGCCTGTTCTCTGCGGAAGGTGGAATTTGGGTTTATGACACTCGTAAACCACAACGAGACATTGTGCATAGGGACACGTGGCTTTTCTTTTTAAGAAAAGCATCAAGTATGTGACACATGAGAGTGATTATCAACTTTTGTTGAAATACCGTCTCATTCTTCCAGGCTGTGAGGGGCTGTGGCCTTTTTTAATGTACCAAATAAATATTGTGCAGCTGTCGCTTCATGTAGATCGTCCTGCTTGGTTAATAACTCTTGGTTGCTTCTTCCACGTTTTGGTTTACACTGAAAGACAAGTTGCTGTGGCCACTATCATTTAGGTACAGATTTTATTATTTTCTTGAGGGGAAGGACAGGAGAAAGTCTTAAGAGTAAAGACTATTTAGCAGGGAGACAGCAGCCTCAGGCCGTCCACTGTGGGGAAACCCCTCTCTCTCACCAGGCCACCTACCCAGCCTCCACTGCAGCGTGAGCAAGGAAGCCATGGTTCTATAGCCCGCTCGCCTGTGAGAGAGGACAGCAGCGGCCGTGAACCTCGACCTGTGGCATGCCTGGGGTCCTGCATCAAATGGTCTCCTGGCTAGTCTGTCTTCTGTGCAGTTGCAATCCCTTGCGCTGGAGGAGAGGAAGCCCAGGAAGGGAGGGAAGGAGCCCAGTGGAACCCTGACCATGCAGATGGCCAGTGCCACTAGGATTAGGGCCACCAGTTCAGTGACCCTGGGCAGGGGGGAGGAAGCTCTGCGTGGAGGGCAAAAGCAAAGGTGGAGGGCAGTGCTGAGGCAGGTCGCTCAGCAGAGGGCCGGTGACGGCCCCGCCTGCCCCGACACCACAGCTCACCAGTGCACTCTGCTGACCCCCAGACCTGAGGGGAGCCCTGTGCCTATGGGCTGTGCCGATGAGCCCTGTGTTCCAGTGGGCTTCAGGGAAAAGAGGGGCAGCCCCGATGGGCAGATGCTGGGAGGAGGATCCTGCGCTTCAGAGGCCAAGAGGTGCCCAGAACAGAAGCTCCAGCAGACCAGCAGGAGCAGAGCACGGCGGCACTCCCCGCTGCTCTCCTGTCCTCCTTTTGGAGAGTCAGCTTCATTTGCTGGGGCCTGTCCACACAGTGGGGAGGGCACTGAGGTCGAGAGGAAGCTACAGCTGCCCTCTGCGAGGAGCCCACATGCCAGGTAGGGGGACTCCGGCAAGGCGCTACAGGGGCTGCAGAAGCGTGTGAGCACAGGGGAGGCTCAGCCACGACAGTGGGCCGTCTGCCGCGGGTGTCTGGTCCTCAGCACTGCTTCCCATGTGAGGGCTTCTGACACATACAACCTCCCAAAACAGAACCATTCAACCAACTGCTGAATGAAAGCTGTCTGCAGGTCCCCTCCAGATCAGAAGTGCACACCACGTGACCCATCAGAAACCCCGGTTCACAGTCAGCAGCTTGCAGAGCTGCCAGAGCCAGCCCTTGCACTGTTGAGCAAAGACACATGCGCAAGAAAGGCCACCTATACACATGAGAGTGACCAGAGCCAGCCTTCTGCATTGCTGAGCAACAGCACATTGGCCGCCCAAGGCCACCTCTACACTGAGAGTGACCACAGCCAGCCCTCTGCACGGCTGAGCAGCAGTGCATGTGCCAGCAAAGGCCACTTCTGTACGCGAGGGCAACACACAGCCTGTCTGTAGCGAGCTGCTGCACCTTGAAGGGACATTTGCGGATCATTTCCTAGTGATGGAGTGGTTCTCCTCAGCACATGCAGTGTTCTCCAGGAGACACCATGCGTCAGGCTACAAAACAAGTCTCAGAGATCAAAGAGAATCAAAATGTCATGGTCTTCTCTGACTACGAGATCAAAAACTAACAGAAGAAACTTCAGAATACACACAGTCACTTAACACGTTATTGAACAATGTCACTGAATATATAAATCTAAAGGAACATTTAAAACTTTCTGGAAACAAATGCAAATGGAAAGAATGAACCTAAACTTAGGGTCAACAGCAAAAGTAATACTAAGAAGGAAGTTTACAGCAAAACACTAGCAAGAAGAGAGATTTCAAATAAAAACAGTGCATCTTGGGACCGAGAAAATGAAGAGAAATAAAGCCAAAATCAACATTAGGAGAGAAGTGACAGAGAGCAGAAGTAAGCCAAACTCAGACTGAAAAATACAAAAGACCATGAAATAATGAGTGTTTTTTAAATAAGATAAACAAAACTGATAAATCTTTAGCTAAGAAGAAAAGATCCAAAGAAATAAAGGTGAGGAGGCATTACAACGGAGACACTGATATCAGTAGAGATTGTCATGAGCAACGCTAGGCTAACAGACTGAAAGACCTAGAAGAAATGAGCAGACTTCTGACACATACAACCTACTAAAACAGAACCAAGTTTAGGGCCACTATCATACTGAATGCGCAAGAGCTGAGAACATCTCCAAGGTCTAGAAGAAGACAATGCTTTTATTCAAATAGTACTGGAAGTTTTAGCCAGAGCAATAAGGCAAGAAAAAGAAATAGAAGCATACAAATAGGAAGCCAAAGTATTCCTATCTGCAGATTTTATGATAAATATAGAAAAATCTAAAGGCTCATCAAAATACAAATAAACATTTAATACAACATTTCTAGGTCTTCAAGATGCACTGTTAGGTTTTTTTTTGAAGCTTTCTCTTTTTGGTAGAGGTGTTTTGCTGTAAACTTCCTTCTTAGTATTACTTCTGCTATTGGCCCTAATGTTGCAGGACACAAAATCAATGTGTAAAAGTCAGCAACATTGTTTTTTTTTTTTGGTACTGGATAGTGAACTCAGGGATGCTTAACCACTGAGCCCATCCCCAACCCTTTTTGTATTTTATTTAGAGACAGGGTCTCACTGAGTTGTTTAGGGCCTCACTAAGTTGCTGAGGGTAGCTTTGAACTTGTAGTCTTCTCAGCTTAGCCTCCTGAACTGATGGGATTACAGGCGTGCGCTATAGTACCTGGCTTCAGTAGCCTTTTAATACACCAATAACAAGACTGCTAAGAAAGCAAATATGAAAACAACTCCCTTCACAATTGCCACAAAAAGTATGTATAGAGCACCACTTAGAGACAGTAAGGAAGCAGAAGGAAATCAGCAGAGTAAGGTGACAGGGTGGGGGAGGGGAGGGTCAGTGAAGGCACTGGGGCCGAAATGGAGCAAACGAGGAGCCATGCATGGATGAACAGGTGAAGATGCTCGTGCTCTTATGTACACCTCAGTGCATTAACAAAAACACGAAAAACAACTCAAAATGGGCCAGAGAGCTACATGTGAGACAGGAAACTAGAAGAAATCATAGGGGAAATACTTCAAGACCTTGGCATGGGCAAGGTTTTCTGGATAAGACCCCAAAGCTCAGGAAACCAAAGCAAAAATAGACAAATGGGATCATAGCAAACTAAAAAGCTTCTGAAAGCTAAGAAGACAATCAAGGCATGAAGAGACAACCCGAGGAATTGGAGAAAATATTCACTAGCAAGCAGTTATCCAGATACACATGAAACTCAGGAAACTTAGCAACAACAACACGGGTGCTTCAATTAAAATGGCCAAACGATCTGAATAGATACAAAAGTATTTAAGGAAAAATGCTCAATATCATTAGCCATCAGGAAAATGCAAATCAAAATTACAATGAAATGTCATCTCACCCCAGTTAGAATAATTACTATTAACAATCTAAAAACCAGCAGGTGCAGTGGCTCATGCCTGTGATCCCAGTGGCTCAGAAGGCCGAGACAGCAGGAACATGAGCTCAAAGCCAGCCTCAGCAACAGCGAGGTGCTAAGCAACTCAGAGAGACCCTGTCTATAAATAAAATACAAAATAGGGCTGGGGATGTGGCTCAGTGGTTGAGTGCCCTTGTGCCCAGTCCCCGATAACTCCCCAAAATAAATATTAAATAAAAATAAAAAAACCAAGGGAGGTGAGGAGAAAAGCTCTCATGCACTGTTGGTGAGAACGCGACGTAGTACAACCATCATGGAGAAGAGCATCGAGGTTCCAGCCACCCCTTCTGGACATATAGCCAAAGGAAATGCCATCAGCTTACCAAGGGAAAGCCCACGCCCACTACGGCAGCAGGACTCAAACAGTTACGTATGGAACCAGCCTAAGTGCCCATCAAGAGATGCACAGGTAAAGAAAGACTGCACACATGATAGCGGGGTGTTCATCAGCCACAGGGGAGAATGCAATCCTGCCACATGCAGCAAAACAGGTGGAACTGGAGGACACCAGCCTGAGCCTCATGTTCTCTCTCACACGTGGAAAGTCAAGATGATGAGGTACAGCCAAGCACAGACTCGGGGCTACACAGCTTGGGAGGCCAGGGAGCGTGGCGTGGAAGGCGGGCGGGTGAAGGAGGCTGAATCAATCTGTGCCGCTGGGTGGGCGCTCAAAGGAATATCACACTGAGCCCCATTGATGTGTGCAATTCATACATGCTCACGAAAGTAAAACAAAACTGTCCTAAAAATAACATTTATTTTTAAAAGAAAAAAGAAAGCCACTGTTGCTTGAAGCCAGAGCTTTGGAGTGGTGTGTCCCACGGCAGTGGATGACCTACGCCTGAGGCAGCTCATTTTAGGCATGCCGAGGTCAGTGCTGCAGCACACTGGTTTTGTTCAATTGGGAGCTTCCATACGGGTTCCTCTTTGGAGTCCTGGAGCAGCCCCTCTCTGAAAGCAGCTGCACTCATGAGAAGAGGCTGCTGGCAGGGAGTGGGGGTGGAGGGCAGCACGGGGCAAGAGCTGCCTTCCTGAGAGGAGGGTCTGATGGGCCACACCTTAGTGCCTAGCACTGGCTT